GTGCTGGCAGATGTCAGCTACCTGATGGCCATGGAGAAAAGTAAGGCGACCCCGGCCGCCCGAGCCAGCAAGAAGATCGTCCTACCCGAGCCCAGGTACCGGCCGCCCGCGCCCGCGCCGCCCCATGCCCGGGATGCGACTAGACCCGCTGGACCAGTCCCGCTGCCCTCCTGCCCCGTCCATCCACCAGCCCTCGGTCCAGTGATTGTGGTCCCCTCGCCCCGTTTCTCTGGTCTCATCTGTGTCACTCCATTTGCCCCATCCCTGGCCATACTCCAGCCCCAGCCGTCTGCTCCAGGTCTGTCCCCCAACCCCCGGAGAGACGGACCCCATCCCTGCGCCCCTGTCCTTGCGCTGCTGTCCCGGGACGGACCCCATCCCTGCGCTCCTGTCCTTGCGCTGCTGTCCCGGGACGGACCCCATCCCTGCGCCCCTGTCCTTGCGCTGCTGTCCCGGGACGGACCCCAACTCTGCGCCCCTGTCCTTGCGCTGCTGTCCCGGGACGGACCCCAACCCTGCGCCCCTGTCCTTGCGCTGCTGTCCCGGGCAGCTGCACCCTCTGGTCTCTTTAGCTCAGCTGGAGAGCACAGGGCAGGCTGGTTGCAAGAACTTAAGCCTCTGTGGCTGTAGGCTCTACTGGAGGTCTATCTGTCTAGCCAGTCTCCCAGCCTTTTCCTGGTCCTTTGCCCCAGCAGTAAGTACATTTGGACCCCCTTGGTTTCCTGTTTTTCTCCAGGCGTGTCACCCGAACCGCTTTCCTTAACTTGCACACCTGGTGGCACTTTGTTGAAAGGATGAAATAAGTCACTTTAAAACGCACACAGTGATAGCCAGTGCCAGACAGGAGCTTGTTAGTAAATTACCAAAGACGGGTTCCCATTGAATTGGTCCAGGCTGGGTGACACCCCTACCAAGCTGCATTTTATCACAAATGATTGATGACTGAATTGATGGCTTCTTGGAGTTTATTTGTTCCAGTTATGCCCAGGGCCCCAGAAGAAGACTGTTCATGGGGTTCATACGGAGTTCCCACCTGCATAGCAGGCAGGAGTGTCAGGTCTGTTTCTTTGGCCTCTTTCCTAATTAACATCACCATCAGTTGTACAGCGAATGTGGCTCCATGGTGCAATATAGCTTCATGGGCATGATGATGGAGGTCTGGCACCATCTTTGTGGCCATCCCCCAACCATGCATCTAAACCAAAGGTGATCTCTTTTTGAAACTATCAAGTGTGACACACCCAGGTAGCTTCAATGTTATCTTGGTATAAGAAAAAGCAATATATTTATTACTTAAAAAAATTTTTTTTAGGTACTGGGAATAGAACCCAGAGCCTCACACATGCTAGGTGAGCGCTCTTACCACTGAGCTGCATTCCCAGCTGCCAAAGAATCTTTGGGATGCTAAGCGCTGATCAGATTATTTATTTATTTTTCACATGATCCAGGGAACCTCAAATCCCTTTGAGAGGCTGGGAAGTCAAACCGTGGTGCAGCTGTGCTGGCTGGGTATTTTTGGCTTGCCTTCCCTCCCCAGCCTTTCCTGTTCACTGGCTTCTCTCTGTGCTGTGTTGCTCTTGTGGCAGAGTAAATCAGGGAAGAACGAAGACCTTGGTGGACTGTCTTGGAGCTGTAAACGGGGCATGCTAGACAGGATCTTCCCAGATCAAACCTGTACCTCGCTGTACCAGGGACATGCAGAGGATGTGTTTGGGGAGAGACTGTTTCTTTCTTTTTCTCCCGCTTTTCCTCTGTTGCTCCCCTCCAAGAGGGGCAGGGGATCTTAAATATGTAAGGAGTCTATATATAAAGTCAACAAATCACAACATGGGGGAGTTTGTGGGGGGGCATATACTATTACTAAAATTAGAAACATCTATTTGTTCTTTTTTTTTTTTTTTTTTTTTTTTTGGGGATTGGAGAACAGGTAATTTAAGTGGTAGGTGCTTTGCAGTGTCCCTCTCCGCAGCATGCTTCTGAGCCTGGCCCTTCACTTCCTTGTTCAGTGCCTCTATTTTTCTGTGGTCTTCTTTGGTAATCCTTGCTTTTAAGGGAGACTTGATGGTAGCTGAGCTTATGAGTCTTGGCATTTTAAAATTGAGAAATGTCAACAGGAGAGTCACGTTAGGAAAGAGCTCTTTGGTGATTTTTACTACGTTGCTGTTTCTCAGATAGACTTGAACTAGGCCATGGGGGAGGTATTTCTCTCAATTGCTTTGGAATCGCTAAATCAGTTCTGTAATATAATATAACCACTCACACAGTGACAATCACCCCTTGTGCCATGTGAGGATTCGGTTACACTGGGAGAGGCTATTCAGAGTTGTGTTTGCCCGTGAGAAGGTGCGTTTGAACTTGCCTTTGGTCTGGCACTATTGATTTTTATTTCCAGCGAATTATCTGGTCACTATAGTATTCCTTGTGTCTCCTGATCTCAGTGACTTTACCTTCCCCAGTTTTAAACAGAGAAGCAACAGAACCAGACAGTATCTAGTTAGTTATAATGAAATGGGTCTGCAGGGCCCAGCCTCCCCTTGCCTGTTACAGAGAATCTCAGAAAATGGAACATTGAGCCCAGGGGAGAGTTTGTGTCCCTGAGAAGGAAAGAGGCAAACATTTTGTTATGTTGACACATTATTCAATTAACGAAGCAATGAGTGTAAATCCTGTAAAAGCTGACTATTTGTTCAAATTACATCGCTGTTTTAGTTTATCGAAACGTTTGTTGAGCTAATGGAGCTCGTAATGGGCCCTGTTGGGAGTGACGACTGTGACCGTTGCAGCCTGGTTAAGCAGTGTGTTTGTTTATCTCCTGTGCCCCTTGGATGCCATGATGAAGAGCACTATTCCCATTGAGGCGGGGTCTAACTCAGATGAAGGCCCGGGAAGAGCTATCTCTTTGACAAGCCATGATTACGTCCCAGCACTTGGGAGGCAGAGGCAGGTGGATCTCTGTGAGTTCAAGGCAGCCGGGTGTGGTGGCACATGCCTACAGTCCCAGCACTTGGGAGGCAGAGGCAGGTGGATCTCTGTGAGTTCAAGGCCAGCCTGGTCTACATAGTGAGTTCCAGGACAGCTGGGGCTACAGGGAGATCTTGCTTCAAAAAAGAAAAAAAAAGAGCTCCATTTCATTATTAAAATACACAGTTTCATACAGAAAAAT